TCATCAAACCAAATGGGAGACTGGCAAAAATATCCATCAAGGCGAGGTGGATTTCAGGTTAATACACACGGTGGTGAATGATCCCTCCGTGTGAGGAGGACGGTGCTCTCGGCCATGGGGAATGCCAGCTCCCTACCGGGAGAGCCATCATTTCTGAGCTTTCAGGGAAGATACTCCTGTGCTGGCCATTGCAAGCCCAATTCTCAATTATAGGGCCAAGGAGTAGAGGACATTAGTCAAGAAATGGGAAAAAAATTAAGCTATTCTGGAGGGACACTCTGCCAATCACAAGGCACATTCCGGGTGTCAGAGGAGCAGCAGGAATCATTTCTCAGCCTACGAATGTCTTTAAACATGTGGGAATGAAGGGGAGGTGGGGGGTGGCGGGGGAGGGCAGGAGGAGCTGACCAGTGTGGTTTTGTCTGTCTTGATGGATAACATTATTCAAGAAAGAGTTTTACCTTCATCCCTTCACTTTGTAGGAAGCCAGTAGCCAGGCTGAAGATAACGCTACGTTTGGGCAGCGCCTTGGTTTTACAAAACACTTTCACACTGATGACATTTTCTGTGATCTCGTCTTATGCACCCAAAGATCAAGTGAGACAGGACTGGCCACTCTCACTAAGTGGCTGGGAGATCTGGAGCCCTTGGGGTGTACCCACAGAGCCTTCCTGGGGTGCTCGGCAGGAAGAGAACAGATCAGAGAGCCTTAAGCTAAGTCCCCAGAACTGAGTGGAGCAAACACCCAGCCTCTGCGGGACGTGGGTTTCCACACCTGCAAAATTGGATGTTTTGGGGAGTGTTAAGGCACCGTGCAGAACCAAGGAAGTGCCGAGGAAGGAGTGTGGGATCTGGAGCCAGCTGGGGGCCTCAGGCGGATCCTGGCTCTGCACTTCACCAGCACGAGACCTCGAGACCTCGAGACCTCGGTCAGTCACTAAGCCTCCTGGAAGCCAGTTCCCCGCCCCCGGGTAAACAGAGTGCCCAGTGATCCTCATTCTTCGTTGGGTTGAATGGATCTAGAAGTGCTTTGTAAACTGGGAAGGATTGAGCATGTGCTGATAAAAACACGTAGGAAAGGGCCTGGGGTCTAGAAAGGCATGGAACACCATTTCAAGTGTCTGTGCCCCTATCCTCCCACTCCATCCGCCTGACTACCTACATGCACGTCAGGAAGACCTGCTGGGAGCTCAACAACCCCACACCAACTCAGGGCAATGCAGTGTTGAAAGGAGGCTGGCCAGCCGGCTGCTGGAGGGTTATTAGTGAGGACCGTCCAGCCTGGCGTCCTGTCTCTGAGATTGAGAGGGGGTGCCCATGGGTACGCAGCCCAGGCCTGGCCACAAAGGGCCGTGGATAGACACCTAGAGTCAGATGGACACAGGGCAGCTGCCATGTCCCAGGGAGCCAACAAGGCAGCCGGGGATGTAGAGATGTTCAGCGGATCAGCTTGGCAAGGTTTAGAAATCTGTGCTTCTTAAAGACACCCGCAGGCAAAGCGGAGAACAAGCGTGATAACACTGTCTCCTCTCCCGGGGTCTGCTAAACGTTCCTATTCACAGCAAGCACCTGCTGGCCCCTGCTCTGTGCCAACATGGACCCAGCACATGCCTGACCCTGCAGGAACTCACAGCTGGGTGGGAACCAATGCTGTGGTCCCACAGTGCACGCGCCAATACAGGAACTTTCCAGTTCTTGGAAGTAGAAGGAAGAAACCGCTCACTCTGTTTGGGGGATTGCAGCAGGGACACTGGAACTGAACTGAAAGTCTGTTTGCCACTGGGCAGAGGAAGGCCATCCCAAGCAGAGGGGCCAGCAAGACAAGGGTGGTGGGAAATAGCACATCCTCTTCCTGTCTCATGACAACAGATACGAACAGTCCTGGGAGCAAGGGTCAGATAGGGGCCCAGGGAGGCTGCAGAGGTGCGGGTGTCAGGTGTGGGCCTTAGGATGGAAAGAAAGAAAGGGTGCCAATGAGGGCTGCTTTCAATAGGTGACTGGACGTCAGCTCTGTGGCTCTCCAAGTTCCTTCCAGATTGATGGGGATGGAGGGTAGGGTGGAGGGGTAAGAGGCAGGGAGGCAGTGGAAGCCCAGGTGAGAGATCATGTCTGAGTTCAGGGGAGTGGACAGGAGCCGGGAGGAGAAGTAAGAGGAATCCAAGTGGTTCGTTTCAGGGATGGACGCTTCTCTCTCCGGAGGCCCTGCCTCTGCCCATGGGGAGGGGTCTGTTGGGACCAGCACTTGCTAACAGCTGCACTGAATCCAGCGGGTCTTTATAAGCACCCATTGCAGACTCCATTTTGGCCAGGCCGTGAGGACAAAGCTCCTGCCCCTAACAACAGAAACGCTGAACCTGTGCCCCTAGGAGGATGGAAGGAAGGGAGCAGGTAGGGTCAGCATGGCAGGAGTAAGGAGGCTGCCCAGGGGCACACTCAAAGAAATGGTGGGTGAGCCCCATTCTGTGGGTCTGCCCTGTTCTCTTGATGCTTCCCTTCCCAGATTGATCCCACTGTCATACTTGGATGTGAAACCCCAAACTGAGCACAGGCTGAGCCTGATCTTCTTACCCGTTCATTCCAAGCCCCCAGAGTGCCCAGCTCTTCAGGAACTCAGCCAGTGGACTAGGGAGAGGATCCGTGTGGCTGGACTGTGTGTGCATTGAGGGTGGGGAAAGACAAACATCAGTAGGAGGGGGATGGGGCAGGAGAGGGGTAGGGAGAAGACGCTGGAGATGGATCCTGAGGGCCCTTCCAGGGACAGAGCTTATCCTGCAGCAAAGCACAGGGGTGCCCAGCTATGTGCCTCTGGGCCGGCCGGACTGCCGGCTCTGCTTCCTGTCCTCTTAGAGGAAGAAACCATCTGCTTTTGCTATTGCTTCAATTACATCCAATAAAACGAGTGGCCGATTACCAAAGGGGTAAACACAGTGGGGCTTCTTATTAGGAACGGAGGAGGCGGGGTGAGTCAGCTATCACTCATTCTGATAATGGAGCAGCCTCTGGTTGAACTGAAAAGGGGCAATCTGTCACGACTGGCCTCTCATAAAACCACAGCCTCGTTTCCCTAACAATCACCAGGGAGGCTCGCTGCCCTGCGGGTGGGTGGGGCTATCAGGGCCTTGTCTGCAGAGGAGGGGGCTGTTCCCGGGATAAAGGGGCCATGGTGGGCGGAGTGGCCCGCCTTCAGATGATGGCAGGGGTGGGAGAGGCCCTCACCAGGAGAGCTGATGTTTTCATATCACCCCAGACAAGGTGGCTGGAATTCAACCTCTTGATTTTATTTTTCAAAATATTCAACGTGCTTCGTTGGTTTTAGACCTGAACATTGCACTCCACTTTGGCAAGCAAGTACTTTCTGAAGACCAATTTCAAGAAACGGTGTCACGTGAGAGTTTTGTTAAGACTTTTGGTGGCTCCCAGCTGATGACAAGTGTGCCCAGGGGTGCTTACTCTGGTCTTTCTCTGGAAAATCCATTTGGTCTGCCAAAAGGGACTGGGAGAGCTACATGGGGACTTCAAACATTGTTTCTCACACTGGACCATTTAGGAGCCCTGATTGCCTTGTCCCATGCCACCAGACCGTGACGGACCCCAGGCAGCCCTGCGCGGAGTAGAGCTGCGGGATCTCTACTTGGAGCTGAATTCATGCTCACCCAGGGACAAGGAGCTGAAGACAGACACACCTAGACCAAGTCCTGACTACGTGGCCTCATGGGCCTTCCTTTCCTCATCTGAAAGGGGAGCAGCGTTATAGACCTGCCCTAGTACCTGGGGAACTGAGCCGATGACACCTCCACAGCACCCCACGTAGAGGACACTCGACACACTTCAGGAGGCACATCCTGCCTGTGCTACCTTCCCACTTGTCCTGCCTTCTGCTTGGGAAAATAAAGTCATTGCAAAAGTCTGCTGTCACTGAACACCCCAGAGTGGGCTCTGCAGGGCTCAGTTCCACGGCCCCTCTCGGCTGGGGAAGGGCAGCGGCCTTTGGGCTCTGCTAGCAGCAGGGAAGGGGCGCTGCACGGAAGCCACACCGCGGGGGAAACAGGTTTTCCTCCTTGAGAAGATGAGCTCCTGGCAAGAAGGAGCGCCAGGCAAGGATGAACAGAGCAGCCCCTGCTCTGAAATCGCTTGCCAACAATTGGAGACATCTTGGATTAACAACCTTGTCTTTGGGTTTAAAAATATTCTGGGGAGGGCGGATTCAAGTAACTTGTTTCCACAGATGCTTTTGAGTACCTGTTATGAAGCAGGTCAACTGCTCTTATCAGTTTGGGTCAGGAGTCAGGACAGGATGTTGGAAGGAAGGAGGAGAAAGTCTCAGGAATTTGTTTGGGATGCACCTCTGCCTCCCAGGACCCTCTCCCTTGCCATGCACTACCAGCATTTTCTGAGTCCTGCTGTGCACCACACCAGGCACAGTACTAGTGCCTCAAAGACTTTCCTCCACCTCACTTGGAGCATGATCGTTGGCTCTTCCCAGGGCCTCTCAGCATCCTTTAAAAGGATCCCCCAGGAAAGGGCCACATTAACCTCAAATCCAACCACACTCTGGAGAGCGTGGCTTTGCCAAGTCCTGTCTGCCTGTCTTCAATGGGCCCTGGACCTTGACATGCCCAAGGCTGTTTCCAAAATGCCACGTTCCGCTGCCTCTGAGGCGTTTCCTCTGAGTGGGGGCTACCTGGGGATACAGATGGAGACAAGGAAAGGGTCCCATGGAAGAGAAAGCACGAGCTCCCCTGTCCCTGGCACCAGGTCTGACATACTAGTGTATGTCCTCTTGCTCTGGTTCTTATCCATGTCTGATTTCCTTCCCTCATCCAGGGCTCCCAGCACAGTGCTGGGCATGCAGGGACCCCTGGCAGTGCTTGTTGTGGACACACTGGCCACGTGACCAGCACCCCACCTATGCAGGGGCCCACTCAGACTATCTGGTCAGGGAGGCTAAAGATGGGATTCCTGCTTTGGGGTCACAGTCAAACAAAATCAAACAAAATGACCTCCGAGGCTCCTGCCAGCTCTGAGGCTCCAGGAGTCTTAGTTACTTCTTAATTAATTATTTCTTAATTAATAACAAACCAAACATTGCAGCAACAGGCAAAGCTAATGAACTAAATGAGGTTAATCTGTTCACTACACCCATGTAGCACATGCCTGGGATGGGAGATTCGCAGACGCCTACTTGATATTTCCACTTCCTTCTCTCGGAACGGGACGCAGGAAATAAACACGACGTTCTCGGGCTTTTCCCGGTGGGCACGCGGAGGCCCCGGCAGCAGATCCAAACACTCGGCTTCCTCTCCACAGCTCCGGGCCTTAGGACCGACTGTGTCCTGTGCCCTAAACACAACAGATTTGCCCCAGTTGGTGCTTCCTGTGAGCCCAGAATAGAAGGTGCCATCTGTCATGTTTTAGATGTCACATGTCCACTGATGACTCGAAAACAGGGTGTATCACCAGGAGGTGTGAGGAGGAAGGCAGGTGAGAACCAGCCAGCCTGGTGAAGCACAGCTCAGACGCACACAGAGACAGTTCGTGGGGACCTCAGCCGGGCCCCTCGGCAGCCTGCCTGCCATTCCTCTGCAGGCAGAATGCCTGGGGCTCTCCAGCCCTGAAAGCCGCTCTGGTCTTCCGTCTTCGGGAGGACAGAGTGGCCCTCAGGACAGGGTATGTCGGGGAAGGGAGAGCTTATTGGCGCAGCTGGTGCGGGGTGGGGGGTTGTCCCCTGCTGGTTGGGCCGATGGGGAGGGCTCCTGGGGAGTGGCACGGTGCGGGGGCCGGCCCCCCGACGGGACGCCTCGGCCACACACCAGGCGCTTTTCATCCAGCAGGGACAGGTGGTACTCGCAAAGGTCGATCAGCGAGGCCACCTGCTCATGAAGTGGCAGCATCTTGAACTTCCTCTGAGCCAGGACAAAGAAAGCTTCTACGAAGGCCTGCAGACACATCCCTGTGAACAAAGAGACTGGATGAGGGGGTGCACACAGCTGCCCTGCGCTGCCCTGGGAAGGCCCATCTCCAGCCACAAGGGTGTCAGCAAGAGCTAGCCCTGCTCCCCACCACCGTCTCCATTCCAGAAACTCCTAACAGGGCTAACTCACAGAGTGCCCACCAGGCCAGCCGTGCCCACCAGGCACTAGCTGGGCATTTTATGGCCATGTGCAGACCCAATCTCTCACACAGCCCTGTGAAGCAAGTTCGATTAACCCTATTTTACAGATGAGGAAGTTGAGTCTCACGGACATGGAGAGACCTGGGGAAAGTTATATAAGATTTAAACCTAGCTCAAAGCCTTGTAAAATGTCCACAATGAAATGCCCCCATTAAAACCCAGCTCCCGGCCGGGCGCAGTGGCTCACGCCTATAATCCCAGCACTTTGGGAGGCCAAGGTGCGTGGATCACTTGAGGTCAGGAGTTTGAGACCAGCCTGGTCAACATGGAGAAACCCCATCTCTACTAAAAGTACAAAATTTAACCGGGCATGGTGGCACATGCCTGTAATCCCAGCTACTCAGGAGGCTAAGGCAGGAGAATCATTTGAACCTGGGAGGCAGAGGTTGCAGTGAGCTGAGATCGTGCCACTGTACTCCAGCGTGGGTGACAGAGCGAGACTCCATCTCAGAAAACAAAAATAAAAAAAAAACCCCAGCTTCTTAACTTTTATAATCAGGGAACAAGGTTATGAAGACATGAAGATAAACCCGGTTTGACAGCAAAATTCTATCTGATAATAGAGATGCTGGTTACATGGGTGTGTGCTTTTGTCAAAATGCACTCAAATTGTGCCTTAAGGCTCATGCATTTTGCTGTCTGCAAATTTTACCCCCAAAAGTAAAATAAACCCAACTGTCATTTCTCTGGCCCAAATTGTATTCTGGAAAGAATAAATAGTCATGCCTACAACACCCCTGGAATGCTCTACCCTGGCTTTGTCTTATAATCGTCTACTTATCTTTGGGACCTGAGCTCAAAATCACTCATTCAGGAAAACCTTCCCTGATCCCCAGTTTAGACCTGGCCCCTGGTACAGGATTCCTGCACTTCTCTTTGCAGCACCGGCTGCGGCTTGCTCTGTGTCTGTTTGTGTGGTCTCCATCCTCCTCTCTGGACTGTGTGCTTCCTGTGCTGCCCAGAGGTGCTCAATATAGATGAATGAGTGAGTGGATGAATGGGTGCATTGACGCTAGGTGCTTTACCGACACTGCCACTAATTCTCACAATACCTTTATGAGGTCAATATTATTGTGCCCCATCTTACAAATCAAGAAACTGATGGCCAGGTGCGGTGGCTCATGCCTGTAATCCTAGCACTTTGGGAGGCCAAGGTGGGCAGATCATGAGGTCAGGAGATCGAGACCATCCTGGCCAATATGGTGAAACCTCATCTCTACTAAAAATACCAAAACTAGCTGGGTGTGGTGGTGCGTGCCTGTAATCCCAGCTACTCAGGAGGCTGAGGCAGGGGAAACACTTGAACCAGGAAGTTGGAGGTTGCACTGAGCCAAGATCGCGCCACTGCACTCCAGCCTGGTGACAGAGCGAGACTCCGTCTTAAAAAAAAAAGCAAAAAACAAAACAAAACAAAAAAAACAAAACAAAACAAAAAAAAGCTGCTGGAGAAGTTAAGTAACTTCTCTAAGGTCACACAGCCAGGGAAGAGTGGCCTGGAAATTCAAACTGACTCCCAAGTTTTTAAAGTAAGTTGTTAAAAACTCAGTTAAAAGTTTCAACTGCCTGAAAGGGTCTGAGTCTTCCCAATGTCCAAGTAAAACTGGGACCCTGGGATCTAAACCTATAGGAGTCCCTGAGCTCCTTGGGAAAGGTGACAGTAAGGCTGAACTGAACACCACGTGGCATTTTAGATTAGGCTGGTGTTGACTCTGAAATCCACACCTTCCTGGTGACTGTGCATTATTTACCTGCTTCTGGCACTGGGGGCAGAAGGCTGGCCTAGAGTTTGTAGATCCTGGGTCACATACAGACCCTGGGATCCCAGAGCTATTTTTGCCTTGGGAACCTGAGCTGAGCAAAGAAGTTGTGTTTTGTCTCCCTCCTAGTCCATCAAAGCTCTTGGGCTTGGGTTCTCTTGACTCCAGACATCCTACAAGGCCGCTGCTCTGTTTGATCCTGATAGAAGGAGTTGTTAAAATGGGTTTTACACCAGGGTTACTTTTAATGTAAACAGCAGCCTGGGATAGGCAAAGACACAGGGGAACGGGAGCCTTGGTCTGACTCAAGAGACAGATGTTTCCTAATCACCAACTCTGGGCCAGGGCTCTCATAGGCTGGGCGTGTGCCCGTGTAAGTATGTGCATCTGTGTGTGTGTGAGACAGTCGGGTGGGAGGGTCAGATACACACAGACTGAGAAGATTAGGATCTAAAGCCAGAGAAACCCAGTCCCAGCTCTCTACTTCCCAACTGTGTGATCTAAACAGCGCCACTCAAAGTGTGGCAGGCTGACAGTGCCAAGCCCATGAACTGTGTGTCCCTGGTCCCTGACAAGATAAGGAGCTTGGGCCAGAATGTTAATCACGGTCCTCATCAATCACATTGTTTAGTTCTGTTGACAGTATTTAGTATAATAGCACGTCTTCCTCTATAAAGGAAGCAGCGTGCTGTCTACATTCTGGCTCAGGCCTCTTGTCCAGGACTGTGACAGTCTATGGGTTACAACTTTGAGTAACTCTGCTCTGCAAAGCCCTTCCCAGCTGTAATGCACACTCCAATACCAGCTTGTTCAAATGCGAATCCTGGGGTGGGGCCCAAGGCACTAAATTTCTAGCAAGCTTCCTGATGGTGCTGATGCCACACTTTGAATGGCAAGGATCTAGCCACTCACTGCACTTCTTTACTCAACAAATATCAGTTTTGTTCCCTTAGTTGGTGGTAGAATGTGATTAGAGCTATAACGCATAGAAAGCATACAATGAGGACCAATTTGGAAAAAAAAAAAAAAAAGTCACGGCAATATTATCTAGAAGATACTCTAAAACAAGAAGCAGGATCTCACTGTGCTGGCTTGGCTTTCTTTCCGCTTGTCTGCATTTTGTGATTTTCTACAGTAAACATGGATATAATTTAAACATCTGCAGTGGGAAATTCTAGTGTGTGGAAAGAGATGATGTAGGGGGAGATGCTTTTAATTATGAACCCCTTACTACTATTTGAATTTGAAGTCAGGTACATGTATTACTTTGAAAAAAAATACAATGCAAACTTTTTGCACATATATTCTACTTAACTTTTTATCAAAGTAGAATATATATGTGTATATACATATATAACCAGCAACCCATATAAAGATATATATATATATGCTATATATACAGGTAAAACCCATATATATGTAAAATCATATACATACATACATATATGTATGTGTATATATGTATATATATGTATGTATATGGTTTTACACCAGGGTTACTTTTGCCAGGGCTGGGATTTGGACCCAAGCCTTATGCACTGTTGCTTCTGCACCTTATTCCCAGAAACCCTCTGAAGCATCCCTGCCAAGGGTGCCTGAGGATGGAAATGGTAGAATCTGCAGGAAACACTGAATCCAACACCTTGGAGGATCTAGGGGTTGGGGCGTCGGTGGAGGCTTATGGGGAAGTGGGCACGACAGTGGGGCCTTGCAGAATGAGGAGGGCTCTGACAGGCAGAGATGTGCTGGGGGTGGTCGGCTGGGCCGAGAGCAGATGGTTGTTTTTGTTTTTAATAAATGTAA